GGGGGGGGGGAACCAGATGGAGGGGAGCTATGGGGGGAAAAAAGAGGAACAACTAATAATCTGAACAATAAAGATTTAATTAAAAAAAAGACAAAGTACTGATCTCTATTCCATAGATTGCTGAAATAATACCATTTGTTTGATATACAATAATCTGGGGAGATCCTTTCTAGTTTAGAAAATTTCACCAAAAAACTAAAAGTAAGTTTATCAAGGTAACTGACATTTTATTTTAGTTGAGCTTAATCATCAGAAATAGTTTTGGGCAAGTGGGATAATCTCAGAGTATTCACTTCCATTGTAAAAGCTCAATCAGAAATCCACGCATTTAACCAAAGTGAGTGAGATGTGAGACAATAAGGAATAGTGAAGACTATAATGAACTGAAAAGCACATACTACATCAAAGAGGGCAGCAGCACTATTCATTCTTCCTCAGTTCCATCAGGTGAGAATTTGACCAGGGGTTTCCAGATAGATGATTTTTCAAGGGAAAGTAGAAATCTGTATTTTATGGTGAGATTTCTTGTTTTTTATATGTTAATTTAAAATATTTGTCAACTTAAATACATCACTATCTAATACATGATAGAATGTTCTGTATCTGTTCTGTTCAGTAGGGTAGCCACTAGCCACATGTGTCCCTTTGAAATGTGACTAAGAAAGTGAATTTTTAATTTTATTTAAACTAAATGGGCTATTTGATTGTTCAGAATAGGTTTGTTTTTGTTTATTTGTTTGTTTTTGTTTTATATTGTGTGAGCTAAGCAAACATGTTTATAAGACTTCACCTACAACCAGTTTTCAACCTCTGGTCTACCACGTGGACCAGTTAGGAGCATTGAACCATGACATTGATGTGGTTTGAAAACCACAGTATTGGATTATGTCTATACTAAAACTCATTGGCTCTTAATAGCAGCACTGATGCCACATTTGAGGCTGGATTTCCTCTTTTAAATGGGAAGTAAGGTATGGTTCTGTTAAGGTCTGGGGAGCTGGGATTTTAGGTTTAGAGCTGTCTGCCTTCTCCGAAGGGGCGTTCTGAATGTCAAGGGCACTATTCAAGACCAAGGTCTCAAAGTGAATTATTGGTTTTAGAAATTAAAAAATGTCCCGGTTTTTATTTGTTTGTTTGGTTGTTTTTTTGGGTGGGATTGGTCCTGTAAAGATGTAGAAGGCAGGTGGGTGTGTTGTTCACATTGAGATCTATCTCCTTCAGAGTACGCATCTAACATTGGTCTCAGGGTCTATATTTTGGGAGAGTAGGGCGTGGGGGAGGGAACTGATTTAAATTATGTGAGATGAAACAAATTTAAAATTACAAAATAGTAAAAGATATGAAGAGATAAAAGTGCTGTTCAGCCAAGCAAGCCCTTTTATATAATCTGGCATCACATGGAGAAAAGCTGACAGTGGTAGAAGACAGCACTCCAGCAGGTGCCTGAGGGCAATTGAGGGTTTAGAGCTGAATTTCTCTGTGGAGTGGAGCCTCCTCTAAAGGCTGAGTACCTTCAGTGACCCTTGTTTGTAAGGGAAGTTTAAAGGCCTGTGATTAGTCTTTGTGGGAAGAAGTGATGTGAGACAAGCACAGCTGTTTGTTTCTCAGACTCCCTTTTGCTGAGTGTCATGTACTGTGGAATTCTAAATCTGTGGATTCTTGCCTGTGATTTGATTCCTGAATAAGTTTGAAGTAGGGTTGATTTATTAGAGCCAGGCATTATCTTACACATAGAGAAATGAATAACTCATACAGTGTGTCAACTTTATGCATTCAAATAACTTTATTTATTGTATACCTATCAGGTGCAAAGACCTATTGCAGACACCAGGGATACAACAGTGAATAAAACAAAGTTCTTGCTCTCAAAGAGAAAAATAAATACGTTTTATGTTTTAGGTAACAATAAACACAAAGAAGATAATATGAAGCTGTCATTCATAAAGGGATAAAGAGCATGGAGGGTTAGGTGGCTGCTTTATCCTGGGGTTAGTAAAGACTTCTTCAAGGAAATGAAGAGAGCAAGGAGAAAGGGGGTGGGGTGGTGGTGAAGAGCTCCAGGCAGCAGTAACCAAGTGCAAAAGCCCGGTGTGTTTGAGATGTATTTCTTGTATTCAAAGAACAGCAATATGGCCAATTTGACTGGAATGGAATGAGAGGGGAAGATATTAGGAAATGAAGTAGGAGAAATAGGCCCTAGATCATGTAGATCTTGTAAGTCATGGTGAACACTTTGACTTCTTCTCATTGGACGGTAGGGTAGGATGTGATCTGTTTCACAATTTTTTAAAAATTGGGAATATCAAATTTCTGAAAAGTTACAAGTATTTGAATCATTTCATATTAAGTTGCCAAAATGATGCCCCATCACTCCTGAATATTTTAATGTGTGATTCCTGCTGCATAACCACAATATAACCATCAAAGTCAGGAAATTACCAATGATACACCACTACTGTGTAATCTTCAGACCTCTTCAAGTTTCATCAAGTGGTTCCAACAATGTCCTTTATTGCAAGATGATCTAATCAGACATTTCATGTGCATCTTAATTCTCTCTAGGCTCTTTTACCTTGGATTGGTTGCTCAGCTTTTCCTTATCTTTTATGACCTTGGCACTTTTGAAAATTACAGGTCAGATATGTTATAGGGTAGAATGTCCCCCAGCCTGGGTTTGTCCAGTGTTTCCTTATGACTAGATTCAGACTATGCTCTGGCAAGAATGTTACAGAAGCAATGTCAGGTTCTTCTTGTTGCATCCTTGCTCTCTTGGAGTTTATACAGTTGACCCATGAACAACACAGGTTTGAACTGCATGGATCCACTTAAATGCAGATTGTAAATGCCTGTACTGTTTTCAATCTTTGGTTGGGAATGTACAGATGTGGAGGAGGCGAAATGTATACAGTATACACTGATCAGGTTTTTTTTGGTTGGCATAAAATGTTCTAGAAGCTTGTGTAGAGAAGAGGATGGCAGGTAGGGGGGATTACTGGGAGGTGATAGAGAGGAATCAGGTGATTCATAGGTGGTGGTATCATTCACTCAGATGAGAATACTGAGAGAAGGGAGGTTGGGGTGTATGGAGGGTTGGAATCAGAAGCCTCTTTTTTGGAGATATAAGTTTGAGATACCTGTCAGAAATCCAAGTGAATAGATATGCCACAAAAACAGCAGAGTAACTGAATCTGGAGCTTAGCACAGAGGTCAAGCCAGCACCGAAGAATGAGTAGTAGCTAGCAAGGTAAGAGGAAAGAGAGATTAGCATTTCAGCAGCATGGGAAGGCTACCTGTATCTCTGTATCTATTTTTATTCATCAGTTTATGTTGTTCATTATATTCCACAAATGAGTGAGATCATGTGATATTTATCTTTCTCTGACTGGCTTGTTTCGCTTAGCATAATGCTCTCCAGGTCCATCCATGCTGTTGCAAATGGTAAGAGTTCTTTCTTTCTTACAGCAGCTTAGTATATAATTGTCATTTAATATCTTTGTTTCCAGTTATTTTGACACAACTAATATTTGAGTACTGAGTTTTTCCTAAAATGTATTATATTTTCATTATAAGTATTTATCTCTTTGGTATTTATAACTTTTTGCCTTTCTCTCAGTGTCCTCATTTGTAGTGTCACTGCCTTTATCATCAAGTTTAAGTAATTTTGTATTTTGTCCTTTAAGAAAATAACAGTGACATAAAATTGAAGCTCTAATGCCAGCTGCAACATAGTTTTCTAGACAGTGCTGTTAGTCCAATGGTGTCTTTAATTAATTGGAATAAAAATGAAAACCTGTTTTGCAAAAACTCTTTGGTGTGGAAATCATATTATTTCTTTAGCCTTTATTCAATACTAATTGTAACAGAAGGGTTATGCTAGCCTGTTTCTTATGAGAATAAATTGTTTACTCATTCCTTGACTCTTGCCAGTAGCCTTACTGGGTAAACGTTTTCAGATTTTATGTATTATCAATTATTGCTAGTAAACACTCTTGAACATACATAGCATCATAAATTTTTCTTATTAGGTTTAGTCTTAATTATTTTAGTGAAACCTCCTCCCCTTACCCTTTTCTCTGTAGCTGGTTAACCTTTTATTCTTGGAGCTGCATTCTATGCCTGTCTCCTCATTCCCTGTTTTTATAGGGTCATATCTGTATTATGAGCTCTGAGCCTTGGGGGATCTGGGATGAGTTCTCGCTCCTTCCTTTCCCATATAAATTCAGCTTGGATTCCTGCTCAGTTCTACTCTTTGTCCCTTGGACATTGATTCTTCCTTTCTCTGTCATTAGAGAGACATCCCCCTGTAGACTCCAAGGAAAGCTCCTAGCTTCCTTCAGGCCAGATTTCTGGCCCCTACCAGCAAGTATCCTTTGAAATTAAATGGTTAAACGCTTAAAGCTGAAATACTTGTGAACTGTGATCTAATAATTTTAAGGTAACAAATGTTATGTTCTCCAGTGTTCAGACTTAAGCTTGAATTTAAGGTGCATGTAGAGACCCTCTACCTCTTCCTTTTCCTCAGCATTGGGTTTCCAACTACAGCTTCATGAGGCAGAGCAACTCAGCACACAGGAACTCCAGAGTCAGCGCATCTCATAGTAATACTGTAGTTCATCAATTTTCTAACATATTTTTACATCTAAAATTAGGTACATATTCTATCAATAGTCTCATAAGTTGATTGGCAGCATTTTTTAGTTTTTAGAGATACATAAAATAATGGTGTATCTTAAAATTGATGGTGTCCTAGATTTGATGAAATACAGTAAGGATAATAGTAATAGCTAGCATTTGTTGAATTCCTACTATGCACAGGAATTTTTCTAGGTGCTTTATGTGTATCATCTCATTTAATCCTTACCCCTCTTTAGGAAATGAGATGTTCAGATGAAAAAACTAAGTCATAGAAAAGTTCATTTAGTTAGTGATGGAGCTAAGATTTGAGCTCAAGCAACAAAATAGCCCCAGAGCTGCCCTCTTAACCTTCCTCCCCGACACTGCACGGCCTCTTCCTAACTGTCTTCTTTCTCCTCTTTAAGGCACCGTTGGCTTCACTGTATGACTGATGATCCTCCAACAACAAAACCACCTACTGCTCGTAAATTCATTTGGACAAACCATAAATTCAACCTGAGTGGCACTTCAGAGCAATATGTACCTTATTCCACCACTAGAAAGAAGATTCAGGAGTGGGTCCCACCTTCAACACCTTACAAGTAAAGACAATGAACAATTTAAACATGTAAAATATGAGGCTTTTCATGTAATTGCACTTTTGCTGCTTACTGTTAATTAAAATTATTTGATTAAACAATGTCTTTTTGCCCTTGTTATTTATCAGTTGCAAAATAGAGGCTTACAGATGTGGGTAATTGAAGTAGACTTCTGTTGGGGTGGGTGCTGGTTTACAGTTCTCCTTACCCGGGGTCGTGTCTGTGCTTTTCGACTCTGCCTCCCTACCACAGCTGATTGATAGGGGAAGACCTAAAGCTGAGCTGAGCCCAACGGATCTTCTCGAGAGACAGAGAGGTTGAGTGAACAGAACTGGATGGATGGCTTTTATGGTAGCTCTACGGAGGTTTTCAGAGATTCATGTTTCCCGAGCTTTGGTTCTTTCCAGTTTATTTGGATGTGTGAACCATCCTAGAATCCATCCACTATATTATTTCTTTAAGCTAACTAGGGTCACTGATTTTTTGTTGTTGTTTGCAAATAAAAGAACTTTAATGTCTATATTGATTCCAAAAAATGGGTTGTAGGCAGACCTTCAGGGAAATGAGGGGTCTTTGGCATTGGTTGTTTCTGGGTAGGACGAAAGGCAGTGCCACTGCCCTCTGTATTCTGGATAGAAAGCTTGCAGCTTCAGTAATCCAGTAGCTTGTCAGGCCATTGGTTTTAGTTACCAGGATCCATGAGCTCCTTGAGGATAAGGTCCTTGGATACTGCTTAGCAGCCACCGTAGAACAATATACTGGTGATGGAAAAAGAATGCAAGGATTATGGAGTCAGATAGTTGCTTTCAAGGGCACTGGGTAACTTAAGGGAGAGAATGAACCTTGATTCCCAAACCTCAACTCAAGGCATTGAGTGAAACTCTGGACAATAAAATGACTTAGCTAACCTCAAGTTTCTCAAATGAAAATTATGGGATAGAGTGGGGTCCTGGTTGTTGGTATAGGGACATCTGGCATGAGCTAGGAAGTCCCCGAGTGCACTTTAACATCACCTCGGGCAATTTTTTAGCTCTAGAGGCCCAAGCTATTAAACCAGCCTCTCTGAGGGCTCCAACCGATGGTTCCATTGCAGCTGAGGTTGTGAACTACTGAGCTAAAGAAAACACCAAACTGGTTCTCCTGAAAGTCTCAGTTATAGGAAACCAGTTTTCTCACAGCCTCACTGCTGAGTATCCCTTACTTAGCTGGATCAGGTTGAATTTGGTACCCTCAGGAGATACTATATTCCGTGTGCTGTTTTGGGCAGCTGTCTACAATTTGCTGGTGGACCAATGTAGAGCAGGACCAAACACTAAGAGCTGGCCAGTGCTAGATTGAGATTTCACATGCTCGGTCACCTGCCTCTTCAGTAACTTTTCTGCCAGGGCCTAAAACAGAAACCTGTGAGCAACTGGAAGTTCTGTCCTCACTTGCTGTTCTTTCTGGTCAAGCATGTTGGAGGGTCACCTGCTAGAAGAAAAATGGGTGCGTCCTTCATGGGGAGGGAGAAGATGGAAAGGTAGTAATTAGGAAATGTTGGATTTGCACAATCTCTTAAAGTGGTTAGGTAATCTTAGAGTCAGGCATGAAAGCAACAGAGGTTTTAACCTGATTTTTTTTAAAAAGCCAACTTGATAGGTCTATGTAACAGACACTTGAATCAAGCCAGAGAATCACAGCTTCTCAATTCCTAGAACTGAGTTAATTCTCAGGACCAGAACCCTTGATTTAAGGGCCTTTGCTATAACAGTAGAGATGTGTGTTATGAACCTTTCACCTAGCTATTTCTTTAGGTGATATGCAGTCTGAAATGAGAAATAACCAAAGTTTTTAGGGATCAGTGGATAACTTGTTCTAAGTTATGGGGTGGATTGAGAAGACTATGACTCCTGGTAAGAATAGAGGTCATGGGAGGAAGATTGGACACTGAACTCCTCCTCCCCCTCCCTCCCCCCATCACCCTGATTCATTTCCTCAGTTCCTAAGTGTAGATAGGATACACATCCTTTGCAGAATCTCTCCATTGGCTCCCTGTCCTAAGGAGTAAATGCTCTGTGGTAGAAGGACCAAGGGGAAGACAAGACATTGGAGCATTCTGTTCCTCCAAAATACTAAGTAAAAAAGCAGTATGTCTTTGGAGGTAATTATAGAAGTTGTACAACCATCAGAGGGTAGAAAGATACAAATGTGGTAACCTGTCATATCCCCAAGTGAGTCATTTGACCAGTGAGAAGGATTGATGGTTCTTGGAAATGACAGTGGACTCTGCATTAAAACTTAATCTTGAGCCCTGACTGGTTTGGCTCAGTGGATAGAGCGTCGGCCTGTGGACTAAGGGGTCCCGGGTTCGATCCCAGTCAAGGGCATGTACCTTGGTTGTGGGCACATCCCCAGTAGGGGGTGTGCAGGAGGCAGCTGATCGATGTTTCTCTCTCATCGATGTTTCTAATTCTCTATCCCTCTCCCTTCCTCTCTGTAAAAAATCAATAAAATATATTTTAAAAAAACAACAAACAAACTTAATCTTGAGGTGATCTGAATTACAGCTGCTATTCCTGAAATGGTCTCTATTGGAGCATCTTAGAACAGCCTTAGTTAACCAAGGTTAACTTAGTTAACAGCCTTAGTTACATTTGATATGTAACTATTGGTATAACCTCTGCATTTTTATCCATTTTAGTTAGCAGAGTCCCCTAGCAGTTTGCTTTTACCTGGCAGGGACAGAAACAGCTTTATAAATCTGTCCCATAGATGTCAAATCCAGCTGTGTGCTACATGAGGACATTTAATGAATCACCAAACCATAGGATGTCACATTAACACACTGTTGGAAATACCAGATACACGAATGCCATGGTAGATTCATGTGTTCAAAGGATGAACTCCGAATCTCACAGAGGTACAGGCACTTGACTGCTTAGTAATATCCCCAGGGATTCAGTGGTGATAGCCCCTCCAGTGGTAAGGACACATTGCTACATCTTGCCCCTTCTACAACTAGGAAAAGCACAGCACCTTGTAGAGACAGCATATGGCACACGGGTGTTTTGTAGATTTATTTTCTAGGTGACCTGAGAAGCTGTCAGTGCAAAGCAGTCTCTGTAGGAGGCCCAGGCTGCCATCTAAGCAGGTCTGCTCCTCCGCCCTCTCAAAATACCTGGGAGACTTAGTGAAATCAGAAACAAGTCTCTCCAGAAAATCATGGAAGCACACAGGATTGGGTAGCAAAGCTGTGAACCCCTGGCTACTTTCCTTTTCAGAAGCAGCTTCGATTTGTTACTAGTGTGTTGGAGACCATGGGACACAGGTGCTATCTAACCCACCTACTCATAAAGTGGACCATGTCCAGTAACACTCCATCACCTCGTCGATGGGGCCAGAGCAGGCCATAGGCACTTAGTTTGTGTGAGCAGATTTCTTCCCTCTCTGTGCTTTTGACGACACTATTTCCACACCTTGTCCCGGCCAGTCTGTCCCTTCGCCCTGGCAGAGAGTTGTTGGCCAATTAACTGAGCATAATAAAAGTCAAGCCTGGTTTATAGATGTTGTGCAAGATGCACTACCAGCTGGAAGTCTATTGTGTACCACACCCCCTATCCGCAGCTGTTTTGAAGGACAGCAGAGGGCAGGATTTCAGCAGGAATCAGGCAGGCTTTCAAGCAATGCCTTTTATCATGTATTTTGACTGGAAGGAAACATGACCTGAGTCTGGCTCTGTCACCAGTCACTGGCTATATGTCAGAGACTTGAAAAGAGCAGCATTGAAAATTACTGTGAAGGTTTTGAGAAGGGCTTTGCCAATGAACTTTGAGGATTGGGCCTAGAACCCACAGAGATTAAGAACAAAGCAGCCAGGTGCTTACAGGGTCATCTCCTGAGCACAAGTCCTGTCTCAGCATTGGCTTATGGATGAATGCAATGTAAAAACACCTAAGGCCAGCAGCCCCATGGTGGCAAGTTCATTTCATTGGGGCAAAGCTTGATTTTTTTTCATGGAAATGGATGTTGTTCTGAATTTGGATCTGCTTTCCTTGCCTATCATAACTTAGCCAATACCAACATTCATGGACTTAGAATGCCTTCTGCTTCGTCATATATAGGATAGTGCCCTGGCCAAGAAAACCACTTCATAGAAAAGAGTCCATGAACTAGAGTCTTCAGGAATCCCTGCTTGTGTTCATAACATGCCCATCTACCTCTCAAACATCATCTTTCTAATTTTTCCCTCTAACACCTACCATGTGTCAGTCATACCAACCCTTTCTTTATTCTTTTTAAAAATTGAATGTATTGCCCAGCTGGCATGGCTCAGTGGTTGAGCATTGACCTATGAACCAGGAGGTCACGCTTCAATTCCTGGTCAGGGCACATGCCCAGGCTTTGGGCTCGATCCTCAGTGTGGGGCATGCAGGAGGGAGCCGATCAATGAGTTTCTCTCATCATTGATGTTTCTATCTCTCTCTCACCTCTCCCTTCCTCTCTGAAATCAATTAAAAAAATAAAAAAATTGAATGTATTGGGGTAACATTGGTTAATAACATTATATAAGTTTTAGGTATACAAGTTTATAATACATCATCTGTATATTGCATTGTGTGCTTACCACCCAAAGTCTAGTCTCCTTCCCTCACCATATATTTGATCCCCTTTACCCTCTTCATACTTCCCTCACCCCTTCCCTTCTGGTAACTACCATACTGCTTTCTGCATCTATGAGTTTGTTTGTTTTATTTATTTGTTTGTTGATGTTTTATATCCCACATGTCAATGACTTTATATGGTTCTTGTTCTTTGCTGTCTGACTTATTTCACTTAGCTTGGTACTCTAAAGATCCATCCATGTTGTTGCAAATAATATTTCATCATCTTTTATGGCTGAGTAGTATTCCATTGTATTTATGTACCACATCTTTATCCAATCATTGGTTGAAGGACACTTAGGTTGTTTCCATGTCTTGGCTATTGTGAATAATGCTGCCGAGAACATAGGGGTACATATCTATAATAATAAAAGCACAATATGCTAATTAGACCAGACGTCCTTCTGGAGGACCTTCCAGATGAAGCCATGGCTGCTAGGGAAGCCTGAGTCCCGGGTGCC